CCTGAACATGGAGATGCAGCTCTCATCTACTGAAGCCCATGGGCGAGTTGACCAGATATGTGACCAGCTCGCCCACGTGCGAGCTGCACGCACTTATCCAGCTCGCCCATTGGCGAGCTGAGCACATTTGTCCAGCTCTCCAATGGTCGAGCTGAATTCAACCATGTGAGTTCCTCAAATCGATTGTACTCTGAACCGTGATCGGAACATCCTTCATTTCGTCTCAATCCGCCTTACCGTTTGAAATTTACGATAAAAACCGTAAAGACGCATTTTTCGTAAAACCTCGAGTAAATCGTATAAAACAGCAACAGTTAAACGAAACACCGAGCATTGCCAGACAATACGATTAACTCGAGATATTTTATCGAAAATCGTAAAACACGCTTTTTTAGTGAAACCTCGAGTAAATCATATAAAACGCCAATGGTTAAAGGAAACGCCAAACATTGCCAAACATTGCCAAACTATACAATTAACTCGAGAATTTTTATAAAAATCGTAAAACACACGTGTCTAGTGAAACATCGAGTATATCTTATAAAACGGCAACGGTTAAACGAAACATCGAACATTGCCAAACCATACGATTAACTCGAGATGTTTACTTAAAAACGTCGTATCACGAAACGATCTTGTCAAAAGTCGTAAAACGACTCAAAAGATTCTAAAACGTGATAAAAGCCTACTCGCGGCTTTAGATAGGATCCACCCCAAAGATACAATGACGGTTTGCCTATTATTCACAAGAAAAGTTAAATGTCAAGATTGAAGAAAAATAGAAGTTTTCCGCTGAAAAATGGAAAGATCAAGATAAATGTAAGATTTCCGATAAGCACGAATCAAGGCAGAAAAGGAAAGATTAAACCACCTAGAGAAGGAGTATATAACCAGAAGGTCGAGGACAGAAGCATGACACGTTCAGAACTCTCTTCACACACAAACTTATGCATTTAGGCAATTTTCTGTTTTTGTTATCGAGCTGCGTCTCAACTAGGGTTTAGTCTTAGGTTTCTAAGACTAGGGAACTCGCCGTCAACTCTTATAGCCAAGGCTTTACCTTGTTGTACCGCACTTACGTAGATTCGGAATAAGAAACCTTTTTGCCCTTTACTTCTCGATTTTTATTGTTCTTAATGTTATTCTCGTTTTCTGATTGCTTGGGGGATGGTTTAGCAGATATCTGAGACCTCTGGGAAATTAGGGTTTTCCCTAAGTTCCTTTATTTATGGAAATCGACGGTGTGAATTTTGGTTCCCACAGTCTTCTCATAGGCGGGAAACCCAAATTATATAAAAATTAAAGCAGGAAATACGTAAGAGTTCTTCTATTATTGATAGTGTTAAAGGGAGACTTATAGTGAAGTCTTTCAAAAAATCTTCTACTGATACTTATGTATTGTTTCATCTTTTGTGAAATTGACTAAGTTTTCTTGAGAATTCGCCTCCATTTGTTTTAGTATCTTGGTCAAATGTTCTTGCTATGTTATATCAATAACTTTAATAATGTCAAGTAATTTGGAAAATTAAATTTATTGTAAATGAAGATATTTAAAAAATTATTTTTCATTAACTTCACTTTAAGTTTATAAAATAATTCACAATTAAAAGAGTAGACATAGCAATCATAAAACAAACTATAAACATAATTATTACACATGGAGCTTGAGATCATTCCTCTACATAGATAAGCTTAGACTTCACTTAGATTAGATATTTATGTTCAGAAGACTTACAGAGAAGTCTTCTAATGCAGACTTTCATGAAAGTCTTCTGAGAAGTCTTCCAAAGTCTGGTTCGGATTTGAAAAAACCTGAATATCCAAAAACGTTCAAATTACATCAAAAACTGATAAAAACTTCAAAAGTAAATTTTTTAATGCTTAAATAATAAGTAAAACAGTCACATTATCTTGAATCTACAACTTTTTAGAATCTAACATATAAACATACACAAAATTACACCTCCAAAATTTATAGATCTACCTTTAAAAATGTGAATATGAGAACCATCTAATGTAAAACTTGCAAAAAAAGATATACTAGTGATAAAGACATAGGAAATAATTGAGAGATTGATATTAAGTTTGACATTTTCAAGTTTAACGAGATTAGAGAGAAGTTTGAGAGTTTAAGAGTGAGAAACATTACATTTTTGTTGCAGTCATTTGAGAGGAAGAGAGAAAATGTGTAAATTTTCTTTATATAAGGAGACAAATTCCAATTAGATGAAATAAGAAAACCATGTAATGAAAAACCTGTAAAAACAAGATAAATTATTAAAAAACACATAACAAAAAAATAAAAAAGTTGATATACAATTTGGTGTTATCAAGTTCAAATAGTTAAGAGAGAGGTTGAATATTAATAGTTTTAGAGTGAGAAACATTACATTTTAGTTGCCTCCATTTCAGAGGAACAAAGAGAATGTGTAAATTATCTTTATATACGAAGAGAAAAATTCTAATTATGTTAAATATTTTCGAAACCAAAGATTCTCATGTAAGACTTACATGAAAGTGTTACAAGAAATCTTCTAATAGAAGATTTACTTAAAAGTCTTCTAATAAGTCTTCTAGACCATAAATTTAATATTTGTTCAGAAAACTTATATTGAAGTTTTGTAAAACATTATTTGTTAGAAAATGTTTCAATAAGTCATCTTAACCCTTAAAACAAATAACTCAATAGCAAAAAAATACTTCATTAAACTTAAAATCGACTTTTAAAGTGTTTAATGTACACAAAACTAAGCATATATTTGTCAAAAAAAAATTAAAGTTATGATTCCAATATATAACGCTAAGAATACAAACAATACTATAACATATGTTACCAAACCCTAAACCAAAGAAAATCATGACTCAATCTACATTCACTCATCCATGTTAAAAAAAATTCATATTTAGTAAACTTAAGTTTATGTCATTTAGGCATGTTTATAATTACATGATTAAGAATTTTTCCCTATCATGATTTTATAAATTATTTTTAATATCTAATACATGAGAAGATTTTGGAAGACATTTTGGAAGACTTATTGGAAGAATAAGCAGGAAACCGAAATTATTTTAAAAATTAAGCAGAAAATGGTAGATTCCGCTGTTAAGTCCTTCAGTAAGTCTTCTAGTACATTTTTTTAATTTTGGGAAGTCTTTCAGACCTTAAAATTTAAATATTTAACTAAATCACGAAGAAAAACTTCATTAAACTTAGAAGGACAATTCTCTCAAATAGACATTTTTATGTTTTTGTCACAAAAATAGAACTCAAGAAATAAAATCACCAAAATAGCATTTTTTCTTTTAAAAATTTTAAAAATTTTTATTTTAAAAATTTGAAATCATATCCACAAAACCCCACTCTAAACCCTAAAATCTAGACGATAAACCCTAAACTTTAAACTCTAAATCTCACGTCTTAAATCTAAACCCTAATGTATAGATTAATTAACCCTATGGATATAAGTGTATATTCACTTCTTTTGATAAAATATTTAAGTCTATTTTGGTCCTTTTTAAAGTTCTATATTTGTGAGAAATACGTATTTTGGTCTATTCTAGGAAATTTCTCAACTTAAAATCAACTTATAAAGTGTTTAATATACCCAAAACTAAACACATAAAGGACAAATTTAGTTTTTATTTTTTTAAATTTCAGATTCCACAATCTAACTCTAGAAACATAAACAATATTATAACATAGTTACACAACGCTCATCCAAAGAATATCATGACTCAACTTACATTCACTCATCTATGCTGAAAACTATTCAATTTTAGTAAAACTATATTTACATTATTTATAAATGTCTATAACTTACATGATTAGGATTTGTTTCTAATAAAAATATTTTTTATTAAATTTTTATAAAGATTTGCTGTATGAGAAAACTTTTAGGTAAGTCTTTTGAGAAGACTTCTCTATAAATCTTCTCACGTGCATAGTTATATTCGTAAAACATATACTGATTTTTTGTTTGGTCACAAAGAAATGGTTGTAATTTCACTAACCTTTTAGATTACTTTTATATTTGATTGAAATTGAGATACACCTTTACATTTAAAATAAAGTTTTGAGTCATATTTGGTAAATACCCCTTCATACTTTGGTTTAACTTTTCTGTAATCCTCTTATGAATACCCATCTTTCTTATTTTGCTTTGTTATTGAAGTCTATGCTTTTCATTAAAGATGGTATTTAATTCTTTTTCTATTTGTATTAAACAATTTTTTTTCCTTCAAAGAAATTGTGCTCCAAACAAAATTTAGGTTTTGAATGGTAATTAAAGAAATGAAGAGGAGCACTACATTTCTTTAAAAATTTACCATTTATAAGAAATAACTCTTTTTTTTTAATTCGTTCTCATTCTTTTTTTTTTGTAGAGTATTTTAGAGTAAAACTTTTTCTTGTTAATTTTGATACGAAATCATCAACCCTCATCATTCCCAAAATTTTATTTTCAAAATTGGCTATTTCACAAATTAACCCTTTAAACTACAAGCACGCCACAGGGAGCATATCTCTATATATTCAAAACATTTTGTGTCATTACATCAAAATAAAGAAAATAAAACCGATTGTTATTTTTTTTTTTTTTGGCATCAAACGGCTGATCTATTACTCAAGCTTGAGGTGGTCTGGGAATCCAGACCGGAATAAAACCGATTGTTATTATTATAGGTTTTTGGCACGTTTGTTATGTTTTAAAAACTCGCATAGTACGTTAGTATGTTATATTAGTGTCAAGATTAAAGTTCGGGTCAAAATAAACAGGTACAGCGCAGAATAGTTTTTAATTAATAATACTCTTATAAAAATATATATCCTTACGATGCCTCTGCACATATCGTGATCCATATGATGCTTTTGCATATTTAAATAATTACAGTGATATTAGTATAAATGTGCATACATAGATCCATAGAAAATCACAGTTCTCATTACAAATCACTCTTAAACAAGAAAAAGCAGATTGAGAGAAGAGAAAGAGAGATCTATCATGTCAACTACTCCAGAATGGGTCATGATTGGAGGAGAAGGTCCTGAGAGTTACAACCAGAATTCCTCATATCAGGTTTATATATGTAACTGAAACATTATGAACCATATGTATGCATGTATTTATGTATGTGTGTGTGATGTATGTATTAACATTTAATCTTCTCTTTGATCTTGTTGTACAGAGAGCATTGTTGGAGGCAGCAAAGGAAAAGATGAGCGAGATTATTTCAGCCAAACTAAGTCTCGAATTGATTTCCGATCGCTTCTATGTAGCGGATTTCGGTTGTGCGAGTGGACCCAACACTTTTGTCGCAGTTCAGAACATAATAGTTGCTGTAGAAGAAAAATACAAAACAGAAACCGGACAAAACCCAGTGGACAACATCGAGTTCCAAGTCCTCTTCAACGACTTTACCAACAACGATTTCAATACCCTCTTCCAAGCACTCCCTGCCGGCAGACGATATTATAGTGCCGGGGTTCCAGGTTCGCGTGTTCTTCCTAAGAAGAGTTTCCACATAGGATTTATCAACTATGCATTTCATTTCACCTCCAAAATCCCCGAGGGGATCACGGACGATGACTCTCCCTCATGGAACAAAGACATGCACTGCACTGGATTCAATGAAGCGGTCAAGAAGGCTTATCTTGATCAATACTCGGTGGACACCAAGGATCTATTAGATGCTAGAGCTGAAGAGATTGTGTCTGGGGACTGATGTTGCTTTTTGGATCTTGTCTAAGAGATGGGGACAAGATGTCCGAGACCTCTAAAGGAATAGTGATGGATTTCATTGGCGAGTCTCTTAATGATCTTGCTCAACAGGTATTTATATGTTTTGATCTTGATTGTTTACCAAAATTTACATTAGCTAACATTTCATTTCAATTATTTTTTGGTTTAAAAAGGGTATCATCGACCAGGACAAGGTAGACTCTTTCAGCACCCCTCTCTACGTTCCAGAAGAAGGCGAAATAAGACGTATCATAGATGAGAATGGGAAGTTTACAATCGAGTCTTTTGAGGATATCATTCATCCAAATGGGGAGTTTCCATTAGACCCAAAGATCTTGGCCGTCTCTTTCAGGGCGTCCTATGGAGCTTTTCTGTCTGCACATTTTGGAGTTGAAGCAATGAAGAAAGCGTTTGAGCTTGTCGAGGTCAAAGCAGAAGAAGACATAACCCGCATCAAGAACGCCAAACCGGGAATGCAGTACCTCATCGTTCTTCGCAAGAACTAAGATCCAAATATTTAACTACCTATGGTATTTATGTGTATTTCATATCCACAGTTGTTTTTCTTATCGTTTGTCCTAGAGTGATTTTATTTTTGCCAATCCTAAGACTTAATAAATGTTTGTATACATATGAAAGTGTTTTTGATGAATAATATGCTCATGTGGATCTATATCCTGATTTGGTATTTGTATCTACCCTTATCTCTATCATTTACACACACACAAAAGTTGCAATAGATCACCTCAATCTTGAGTAATAGATCAGCCTTTCGTTGTCAAAAAAAAAAAACACACACTCACACAAAAGTTGTTAATTTCTACTTGATATTGTACCCAATATTTATTGTATATATGTCTAAAAGTTAGATAATATTTAGATTGTTTCCTTATATTCTTGATCATAATATGGTTTATGTGTTTACAATATCTTTGATTTTTGCAACTTGACTATTAAACGTACAGAATATTTACCTATTTGTCATACTTTATGGGGTTGGAGAGACATATCCAGGTTGGCGATGGTCACAATAGCTTTCATGTCAGCTATAAGGTTTAACAGGTTCACAATGCTAAGGTCAATTGGTATTGCTTTCTGTACAACTTGATGGGGGCACACTCCGTTTAAGGTTTTCACTGTAAAAGAAGGTAAAATTTTTTTAGTTGGCCTTCAGGTTGGTCCCGTGTGAAATTTAAATGAAAGAAGTTCTAAGTTTAATTTTTTTTGTTATTGTTCATCACTTGTTGACTTCGTATAGTTCCCTGCAGGGTCATCTTGTGCTTCACGTGTGTATGTCTATGGGAGAAATTTTTTGTGTTATGTATTGTCCTATTATTAACATATTTCTTCACTCCAGAAGATGCCTGCTGATAAGTTTTTTCTGCAGACTTAATGATGCAGATGCCACAAAGACAAAAAGGAGGAAAAGGTAGAGCCTGAGGCTGCTACTTAATCCTAAGACTTAATAATGTTTGTATACATATGAAAGTGTTTTTGATGAATAATATGCTCATGTGGATCTATGTACTAATTAGATATTTATATCTACTCTTATCTCTATCATGTTCACACACAAAAGTTGTTAATATTCACTTGGGATTGTATGAAACATTCATTGTATATATGGATATACCAGATTTTCATGTGTTTCAGCGCGTTTTTTTGTTATAACAAATTTTGATATAAATTATTATTTTTAGGGATGATTTCTTAAAATTATATAATTTAAAAAATATTTTATTTGAAATTTTAAATGTACACTTTAACTCTCTCTTGTGTGTGGACATTTTACCCGAACCCAAAAAGCCAAATCGATGTCGACCCGAAATACAAGTTCTTTTTTGGGTTTGGGTCCAAGAAGAAAAAATACTTATATTGTATATTTACCCGCGGGAATCTATCCACGACCTAATCGGATACCCAAAGTATCTAAAATGTTTTCTGTGTAGTAGTTATATTTGGATAATTTATATATGTGTTTGCTATTATAGATATTTAATAAAAAATGTTGGATTTTTGGTTATAATCTTGAATTTCCGGTATAAAATAATATTTTAAAAATACATTATGTAAAGCATTGAGTGAATTAAAGACTAAAGTAGTTTATTTAAATGTTAGAAGATATATATTATTTGGTTAAATATAATAAATGTTGGTTATAATATTTCGTTTTATATAATAGATTAGACTAATAATGAATTAAGATGGTATATGTGAATGTTGAGAAAATATTATCTGATTACTATAACAAGGGGTTAGCTATAATAGGGGGTTAGTTATATTATTTGGTTTTACATAATAAGTTAGACTAATAATGAATAGGTGATTTATTCAAAAAAAAAAATGAGTGCAATATTTATATTATTAATCTAAAAGTGGTTAATATTTATATTTCCTTGTAATAATATGTAATCTAAAAGTGGTTAATATTTATATTATTTCCTTATATATTTGATTATAATAGGATTTATGTATTTAGAGTTCATTTCTTTTTTAAATTTATCTATTAAACATTGTTACCAATTATAAAATTAGTTGGGAGAGAACTAATATATAAGATAAAAATGAAAATGAACAATGAGCAACATCATATGGATTAAAAGGATGAACAATCTATTAGTTTTTAGTTAGAGCTTGTAATATCTGTATAGATAACTATACATCAAAAAACCACAGCTAGAAAATATAGAATTTCATTTTTGGAGCAAAAATAATATAATTAACCATGTCAACTAATTCTCGTTATTTGTTATTTCTTTTAAAATCTTATATATATATATTAATATTTATTATATCTAAAATATAAAAGAAAAGAAAACATGGATTATATAATCCTACAAATCTGTTTTTTTTTTAAACCTACAACTCATAATAGTGAATGATTGCCATATTTGATAATTTTATTTAACAACTAAACTAACACGTATTATAAAATCAATTATCAGTATAATTATGATATAAATATATTATTACTTTATATTTATATTAAGAAGGGGTTTATATTTTGACATATTCAGATCTAATCCAGTTCTATGATCTTATTCGAATTCTAATACTGAAGAATGATTAATTGATAGTTATATTATAGATGAATATACATGCATGTAAGTTAATTTAGTTGAGAATTAGGTATATACTATATTATAGCTGACTGATTGTTAATGTATGTTACTATTTAAACAAGCAAAATAGTGCTATATGTTTTTACCTGGTTAGTAGGTTAAAATCATGTTTCTTTGAGCCATTTACTAATCCATTTTTAATCGTTCAATTCAATCCCTACAAATTAATATTTGAAGATTGAGCTAATAGGTTGCTTATTTAATCCATATTCTGACTGTCAACAGACAAAAATGTTGAGCCTTTTGTTGCCTTTGTAATAGTGCTAGCGGCCTTAGATGTTTCCTATCAGAAAAGTAAACAAGAACAGGCTGGAAGTACTACGTGGGGTGCATCATTTCTGTTTCACTTTTGTAAAAATTTTCAAAGACCTTGTTTTTTTTTTTCTGATAATCCAGGGTTCCCTGCTTTGCGGATCATTCCATGGGGTCGGTCAGACAGCGGTCCACTTCACCCGGGAGGGTTTTACATGGGCCTAGACCTAGTACCACTTTGGTGATATGGAAGAGGCAGTTCGCCACTGCCTGGTATCGAACCCTTGAACATGACAATTGGTCCCCAAGGTCTTTTGCCAGGTGGGCTACCTCATCCCGTCACTTGTTTTTGTTTCCATATTAATTTAAAGCGATATGATATTTTTAAAAAAAAAATTTTTATCATAAAAATAGACCTCAAAAATTAAAATGGCCAAAATAGTACTTTTTATTTTGTAAATTTTAAGTTTTGTTAATTTTTTAAATTTGAAACCCTATCCCAAAAACCCCCCTCCTCAACTCTAAACCAAAAAAAATCTAAGATTAGTTAATTCAAAGGTATAAATGTATATTTAATAAAACATTTAAGGGCTATTTTGGTCATTTTAATTGTTAAGGTCTATATTTATGATAAAAACTTTTTTATGTCTATTCTAATCATTTTCTATTAATTTTAACTAAAATGAATCCTAAGTAGATCACAAAAGGTATGATATGAAAGTAAAGAAGCTGAAAGCCTGAAACTCATTACTAAGTTTTTAATATTAAACCAAAAAAAACTCCTGCTAAATTTCTATCTATCCAATAAAATCCACATAACAAAACAAAAGTTCATAGTGTCTAGATACAAATTATAAATCTTATTAAGGTATGATATAAATGTAAAGAATCTGAAAGCCTTGAAACTCATTACTAAGTTTTTAATATTACACCAAAAAAAACTCCTACTAAGTTTCTATCATCCCAATAAAATCAACATAATAAAACAAAAGTTCATAGCGTCTAAATACAAATTATAAATCTTCCAAATAAAATTCACATAATAAAACAGAAATTCATAGCGTCTAGTTACATTATGGCTATGCATTCAATAATGATTCATACACAACTTTTGAGCCAACATCTGTTGTATATAGACGAATTTCAACGATCAAAGAAATTCTTTCCAAATTTCTTGTTCATGCATATACAACAACATCTAGTACAAAGTCACACAAGCTTACACATGGTGTTCAGGGTTCTCTTTCTTGTTTGGTTATTGTTAACAAAAGAAAAATATGAGTTAAAGCTGTAAGAAAATGGTTCACCCCAATTTCGATTTCTCCTTAATACTGACGAGATTTTGCTCGCCAATGTCAGCCTTTCCATCCTTTGCCCGCTCGTGGTTTTTTTCTTTATTCTATTGATAGCTCTTTCTCTCCTGGGTTTCTCTTAATCTCTTTGCTCTGATGCAGACCTCGTCATTACTTACGATTACTTTCGTACCTTCAGGTTGCTAGCAAGAGTACCAGAACTGAAAATTTCTCTAGGTTTCCCGAATATTGTTTTGTTGTACCTCTATTTTGCAATCCTATTATGTTTCTCTTTTGGTATGCTCCAGATTCGTGAGAATTTGTTCTTCAATCTCTTCTACAAAGTGATTCCTAGTTGAAGACCTTCTCCACCACTCTCACCCCCTCACGCCCCAAACACACAACATCTAGATAGATATCAGAAGCTTAACAACCGGTACATGTTGGCTTCCACTCTTAACTCGGTGTCTAAATATGGAAACTTTTCGTCACTAAGACTGCTCTTTACTAGAAGTTTGTACACAATCTCCGTCCTGATAAGACCTTCTCGTGCCGATCTTCATTGTGATTCCAGCGAGTTTCAATGTTTTACCGAACCCTGACGATTCTGGCCAGACGTCTAATGTTCCTTGGCGCTTAATCTATGAGATTCCTCCCCTTCACCTGCACCTTTTCCCCATATCTAATTGCTCTCTACTCGAGCGATTCACAAACAATGAACCAAAAATTATGTATCCTTGGGCCAGGTCCATTACATATGTAGCAGTTTTAATGCCTATTACTAACCCCCCCCCCACCCCTGAACTTATTTATTTGGTTAATATTTCAAGACATTTTTTA